AAAAAAAAAAAAAAAAGTACCTCACTCTCTAACCATGTTCCATATAGGAGGGCTAAAATACGAGAACGGAGGGAGTCCGCTATAATTATCCTCGATGTTTTCGTCTGGACTTTGAAGAGTTTACTCTGTTAAGTCATCAATTCTTGGAACTATATGGAAACTTCTGGGCCCGTGTATGTATTTTTCTGGTGGGTTATAATTCCATTAAGCTATCAGTAAAAGTTTATACATTTTAGCGTATGGACGGGTTGTAGAAGAGAACAGAGAAACCACAACAGAATATTTATACATTTATTTATAATGAAATTATGGTCTAAATATTTACAACATATAGGAAACCAGAGAATACGTTTATACAAAGCCAGCCTGCAAAGTATTCAAATGTGCAAAAATGACAGTTCAGTATCTCAAACTACTCCTGGTTCAGCAGACTAGCTCCTTCTTTCACACGTCAATATTTGATACAAAAAAGTTCTTTTGGCAAAACCTGTAATGCCAAGAAAAAGGACAAGTTGCAATTTCAGTCACTAAGTCCGCCATCCATCCTACTGAGCGGTCAAATCTCTCTATTTGAGCTGCAACCAGTTCTGAGAGGCAGACCACTGTGTTTCATTTCTGTGAGGAGTTCTGACCAGCTTTGATCAAGCAGTTTTCTCTGACCCAGCTGACGACATGGAGCTTAGAAGGGCAATAAAAACGGCAATGGCTTTCTGAGACAAGAGTGCCTGAAGGTGCCAGCTTTGGCTCATCCCAGTAAAAAGACACAGGGAAGAAAAAAACAAAAAACAAAAAACTTTAATCTTCCTACTCAGGATCCAGCTATATCCAACAGTTTTAAATTAGTAAAACTGAAGTTTCCAAAAACAGAAAAGAATGCAAAAATGAAACAGGGATGCATTGTCCTTAGATTTAAAGGTGCTGAAAGGAAAGGATGGTCTTAAGATCATTTCCCCACTAATAAATAGTAAGGCGTCGTTTGTAACCAGTTGTTATCAAAATTGACCAAACAGTAGTAAAATACAAATAAAACCTTCTCTTCGTCAGAATAGGGGCCATTCATGTGGAAAAGGCTGGACCAGGTCAAATGTATATGGGAATGACCCTGTTGGGATGCTCTGTTGAACAAGCACATTTCACCAACTGTTAAAAAGCTTCTGAGACAAACTTGTGATTCTAAGTAAATGTTAACAGATGCTATGCCACTGCAGAAACAGGGATGTTGTAAAAAGAACGAGACACTTTGAGAAAGGAGACGCTGCATCTCTAACTTCTGCAAAGGTCCAAGATGGTTCCCGGTACAGGCCCCAGAGTCTTATTAAATCAAACGCATGCATTATTGCTAAAGAGAGTCACCGAGGGTCAAAGCTCTGCTCCACTGTTTCCTACGGGGCCATCCAGAATGGCATCTGCTGTTTAGCTCGTGGTTGTGACGAAGGGTACTGATAGCCCAAACTCCAGCCCTGTGGAAAGCTACTTGCATTTTTATGACCCCCGTGTTCCTCCTCTTCATCAGATGAATCTGCAGCATAAGCCACCAACCCAAATCCCTTCTCCGTAGTTTTCATCTTCTTGACTGGATAATCTAGAATAGAGAAAACAACCCCAACCCCGTTCCCCACCAAGATAAAAAAAAAAAAAAAA